TTAAGACTTTTCAGGTTGGAAAAGAGACGGCTAAGAGGAGATATGATAGAGGTCTAAAAATCATGGTTGGTGTGGGGAAAGTAAATAAGGAAGTGTTATCTACTCCTTCTCTTAACACCATAAGAACTAGAGGTCACCAAATGAAATTAAATAGGCAGCAAGTTTAAAACAAACGAAAGGAAGCATTTCTTCGCACAATCAACCTGTGGAACTCTTTGCCAGAGGATGTTGTTAAGGCCAAGACTATAACAGAATTCAAAAAAGAACTAAATTCGTGGAGGATAGGTCTATCAATGGCTATTAGCCAGGATGGTCAGTGATGGTGTCCCTAGCCTCTGTTTGCCAGAAGCTGGGAATGGGCAATGGGGATGGATCACTTGATGATTACTTGTTCTGTTCATTCCCTCTGGGGCACCTGGCATTGGCCACTGTCAGAAGACAAGATACTCGGCTAGATGGACATTTGGTTTGACCAAATATGGCCCTTCTTACGTTCTTATCTTAAACAGGTATGTGAGCCTACTGGTGGAGGAGTGCATGCTGCTTAGGGCTGCAATCATATCAGTGATGATATACAGCTCTACCTTTTTCACAGGACCTTGGCGGTATCGAGTCTCTACTTGCCCAGAGTCTGGCCACATTTGGGGATTAGATAACAGCTGGCTGAAGCTGACTTCTGGTAAGATATTGATGATATCAACTGGGCTGGTGGTGGGGAGAACCATCCAGAAATGATACGGTCAGTAGCTCAACTGAGGGGATAGGTTTACTCTTTGTTAATATTTGCAACTTCAGATGTTTGTTAGGCACTCTGATAACGGTGATGAGTTGGTATAAGTCCCTATATAAATCCTTGGTGTGCTTCTGGATTTCCAAGTAGGAGCAATAGCTGAGAGTGATTTCCTCTATCTTCACCTGAAAAGGAAGTTGCAACTTCTGCTTTCAGTTGTTCTGGATTTTTTGTTGGGACATGTATAGGAGTTATGTCGAGGGACTTGAGTTTCTCAAACATAGAGCCCTTTGCAGTACCCTTCACAAAGATTAGCAACTGATCAATACCACCTTTCTCAGATCTCTGACTGAAAAAAAACCCAGCCACTGGTAGTATTTCCAGACTCAAACACTTCATGTTTAATCCCATCCAAGGCAGCTGACAGCTAAAAGAATTAACCCACAAAACCAGTGCAATCTCAGTACCATATTCAGATCTCAGAGAAGACTGAAAGGTGTCAAGGTTATCTAAATGTTCAGGTAAAAGTCAAAGCCACCTTACCACAGAGTTCTCGGTATCCATTCCCAAAACGGAAATAGTTGATGAGTGGTCAGCATCAAGACATATTTTTGCAGAAGGGATCACTTGAGAGATGATGGCTCTGACCTCCCAAGGGGAGACAGTGACAGATGCCACCAAAACACAGATCAATGATCCCACTAATAAAGGCAATGAATTCAACTTGGTCACAAGCATGAAGCACTCTCAATGTCTCTTGAAGCTTTGTGAAAAAAAGCTGACACTCAGCTAGAGAAGATATCGTGATTGACCCCCAAAAAGCATCTACCAGATGTAGAAGCAGCTAATCCAGTCTAAAGATGATGGATATTAATAAACAAAACAGAGGAATGACCTGACAAGAAGTAGTCGTCTACTGAAGAAGTATATTATTTCTGACTAAAGACAGCCCTGATTCACCAGGCTGTTCATAACCTGGATTAGTTATGCTGATTGTGACTTCAATTATATTATTGCTAGAGCCATGGACCTAAAACTTCCAAGAAACTTTTAGAGCACAATTTCCACTAGTAGTTCTCTAATCTTCCTCCTCCATCTGCAGCAGATCATCATCTTACTAAAGTGACATATGAGGAAAGCATAAACAAAAGGTACTTTTAGATGCCACTGTATTAACAGTCAAGAACAAAAAACGCTTTATAACCTCTTCCAGGCCATCAACAGAGTGACCTACTGGCTGTGTTCTGTCTACCTCAGAGAACTCTGAAACCTAAGTCCTTTAAACCAAAAGGAAGACTAGTACACAATAGGTCCCATGACCTGATGTGAGCAAAGTTGAGCCCCAATATAAACCTGAATTTAATAAATCAGACTTTAATCCTGATTTTGCCACATGCCTCATTAACCAATCCCAGACCATAAAATAGGATTGAGGGTGGACAACTGCTGAGAATAGTCTTATGCTTGTTACATGGCAAAGAGGTCCTCAGCTAACTTATAAAAGATGCTGAAATCACTAAGGACTCCAAGACCATCCATAATTTTTAGCTGCTCTAATCTACCCAACTAATTAAACTCAAGACACCATAACTGCACTCTGGCCCCTCTGGTTTCTGTTGCATTTTATCATGGTTAACTAGAAATTCAAAAGTAGTTTAAAAAATTGACACTTTTACTTGAGCTAAATATGAAAATACTCCATATAATATTTTCTGCATTGTTTTGGTATTTATACTGTCCCAAATTTTTCAATTTGCTGCATATTTTCGTGTTGTCAAATATCTGCAACAGCTGTTGTGGGAAAGGAAGAGAAGGTGGAAGTTCTGACAGTTGGGTTGGAATAAGGTGGGGCTTCTGTACATGGGAAGGCGTGGAAGGCAGTCTGGGATGGGGGGGAAGGGAGGAGAAGCAGCTCCTCTTTACCATCCATTTGTGAGCAAGGGTTTAGGTAACTTAATTTTGTGATGACTGGAAAGGATTTGAATTACTCCCTCATCCAGCAAACCTTAACAACCCAACTGGTCATTCTTCACAACTGCATCCAACAGTGATGTCTCGCTCCTAAAATTATCAGTGAAAAAATGTTGGCATTTTAAATGATCAGTTAGGTTTTAGAGTTGCCATGGCATAGATAAACGGGAAAGCTCTTTTTGAAGGGATGTCTGTTCGCAGGCTCAAGGAGATAGCACAACATGTGTTTTCATGAGGTTCATAGAATCATAGAATATCAGGGTTGGAAGGGACCTCAGAAGGTCATCTAGTCCAATCCCCTGCTCAAAGCAGGACCAACACCAACTAAATCATCCCAGCCAGGGCTTTGTCAAGCTGGGCCTTAAAAACCTCTAAGGAAGGAGATTCCACCACCTCCCTAGGTAATCCATTCCAGTGCTTCACCACCCTCCTAGTGAAAAAAGTTTTTCCTAATATCCAACCTAAACCTCCCCCACTGCAACTTGAGACCATTACTCCTTGTTCTGTCTTCTGCTACCACTGAGAACAGTCTAGAGCCATCCTCTTCGGAACCCTCTTTCAGGTAGTTGAAAGCAGCTACCAAATCCCCCCTCATTCTTCTCTTCCGCAGACTAAACAATCCCAGTTCCCTCAGCCTCTCCTCATAAGTCATGTGCTCCAGTCCCCTAATCATTTTTGTTGCCTTCCGCTGGACTCTTTCCAATTTTTCCACATCCTTCTTGTAGTGTGGGGCCCAAAACCGGACACAGTACTCCAGATGAGGCCTCACCAATGTCAAATAGAGGGGAACGATCACATCCCTCGATCTGCTGGCAATGCCCCATCTTATACAGCCCAAAATGCCACTGGCCTTCTTGGCAACAAGGGCACACTGTTGACTCATATCCAGCTTCTCGTCCACCGTAACCCCTACTTACTTTGAAGGTTCTCTTTGCAACTATAAGGGCTAGAAATTTACTTTTTAAGGTGATGGATTCTGACACTATTTTTCAGCAGAGTCTGGATGCAGAATACATAGGCTTTCATTACACTACATTTTCTTACAGTAAAAAGCACAGCACAAAGCTTGTATATGCTACACACAAACTACCAATGAGTGTTGTCCAACGAATGGGTATATTAACAATAAACATATGATGAGTGCAAGTTCTGAAGACAATTCAGTCCTAAGAACACATCTAGGGAAAACCACCTTTTCAGCACTACATTGCTTTCCAATTCCCAATGGTTTGAGAGGAATTCACATTCAATTGGTTATGTATTCAGAAAACTATTACACCTTAAATTCTGGTAATTTCCTCTTGCACTGATGTTTGTTTGTTTTGGTTTTGGTGCACTATAAGTGCCTGTTTAATTACAGGTTTCAGAGTGCAAGCCGTGTTAGTCTGTATCAGCAAAAAGAACGAGGAGTACTTGTGGCACCTAAGAGACTAACAAATTTATTTAAGCATAAGCTTTTGTGGGCTAAAACCCACCTCATCAGATGCATGCAGTGGAAAATACAGGAGGAAGATATATAGATATACACACCCATTTTTTCATGTTCTGTGTGTATATTTATATATCTACTGTATTTTCCACTGCATGCATCCGATGAAGTGGGTTTTAGCCCACGAAAGCTTATGCTCAAATAAATGTATTAGTCTCTAAGGTGCCACAAGGACTCCTTGTTCTTTTTGTTTAATTACAGAATTTAAATGACTGAGTTTTGATTTCCATGTTGCCCATTATCTGATTCCAGCAACTATTTTGGCAGTTTAATTTATTCTCAATGATCTTGTTATATATACGCACCTTAAAAAAAAAAAAAGAGAAAAACTCTTGTAAATATTCTGGGTGATCTTTTATTCAATGAATTAATGTACAGGGTACTCATCTCAAGATAATGTTTGTTTTAGATATAAACACTGTGCTGATCAGAACATACTTCACGTCTGAAGAGTATTTAAAAACCACTAGTTACTACATTACATTTAATGGGAGGTTTGCTTACACGTCTATTCTGATGGGATGAGAATTGGAATTTCAATATCATCAAGAATGAAAAACAAGAGAAAGTTCTTTGCAATGCAAAAAGCGTAACAAATTCCACGTTCACTTTAAAATACTGAAATAATGATGAAGTAATGAAGCACTCAATATTGATGTTAGGGATCACAACTAGAGCAGTGGCTTAAAAAGGTGTATGGCAGAGCCAGCTGTTATTCAGAATGGCTTCACGTAAAACAAGTTCCTCAGCTAGCCTAATTTAATACTTTAATTGTTTCTTATTACACTGAATCATCAGTTAAGAGCCTACCTGACGTTTTGGAGAATTTGCTGTGCTGGGATTGATATTCCGCAATGCCTAAGAGTAAAAAATAAGATGGATAAAAATTACTTTAAGCTACACGATTTGGCTGTGCAGGCTGACTTACAAACACCATCTTGTAGTATCAAGTCCCCAAGACAGCCCAAGATGAGACAAGGTAAGGGATTTAAGAGTTGATGAAAATCACTTTACAATGAAACAAAACTCAAAGATTTATGGAGCATGTGAACATGACAGAAAAGCTTAACGGCGACGAAGAACATGGAGGGAACTGACGGTCACCTGATCCAAAGTTAGTCAGATTTCTCAAGGAGAGCTGAGGTAGGAAAACTAGAAGGCCCATCTAGAAGCATGCTAGCACAGGGTAGACGTTTGCTGGAGGATTAATAGCGAAGCAGGAACAGCAGAGGACTGGGTGCTTAAGCAGAAAGGGAGTCCTGATGCTATCTTATTTAGGCACACCTTAAGAAGTAGTACCGAATTTTAAAGATGACCCAACCTATATCAAGAGATGCTAAAGATTCCTACAAACAGGCCTTGAGTTCAGAAGGGACAATAGGAGTCAGACTCCAGGTCAAGGACAGAATGTCACAGGTGACAAAGAAAAAGGAAGAGGGCATGAAGATATTATTCTCTCCTGATATAAGGCCCATCACCAAAGTGGAAAGGGAAGAGGACAAGACTTTAAAAGTTTTTCTCAAAACAAAAGACTAGGGTGTCAGTGCTTTCTTCATCAGTGCTACAAAACTGAAGATAACCTACATTTCTGGGACAAGATGGTAGCCAATCTTCTACCAAAAACCCAGAAAGAAAAATGTGAATGGAACTTTTAAAGTGGCGATTGTAGAAACAGACATCATGGTCTGGTTGGATTTTCTTCCCCAAGGTTACCCAGTTTCAAAACTAACAAAGTCCATAATCTACAACTGAATCTGGGTAAATTGTTAAATTAAAAGCTAGTTAAAACAAAGTAAAAAAAGAACATGTTAAATGCTCTGTTAAGTATGCTGCTTGTAAGTAAATAATTACACTTTTGGAATTCCTTCCTTATGATGGCAATATAAGCAATGCCTCACATATATATATATTTTTTTTTCCTCACATTTTCCTTCCTGTAACTCATTTAAAGAAGCTGCTTATAATGGGTTGTGTGTTTAGTTAGTGTATCAATATACTTAATTCATTACTGACTGGATATTTGGAGCACCTTTACCCCATGTTGAAAGCTGGCTTAACTAAATTACAGTGCATGATGTTTTCCTTTTGTCTTTACAGTGTTCCTACTTATATTGCTGTTATCCTTTGAAAACACTGGGCTATTTGAATAGTGAATATTTTTACAGCACTTTCCATCTTCAAAGTGCTTTCAACCATTAATCTTCACAATACCCTGCGAGATAGTAAATAAACGTTACCGCATTTTACAAATGGAGAAACTTGGGTGGAAAGTTTAATTGGGTTGTCCAAGGCCACAAAGGGAGTCAGAGCTGGGATTCAAAATCCAGGGTTCCTGCCTCCCAGACCGACCAATCTGATACGTAAACCTTAGTTCTCTCAATGACCAGTTTTTGTTACTAGAAAAGTTCTAGAGGGAATGGCATAACATTTAAGCACCAGGTTTAAAATACCTAGACACAAGAGAACAACAGGGTCCAAACCCAGCAAAGCCTATTCAATTGTTCAGCCTGCACACCATTTGGAAGTGGATGAATTTCAGTAATGAGGTGATTCCTCTACATAGAGCATGTAACTTGAAAAACACTTTTGTATCCTTTGGATTGCAATGTGTTCTAAAATCATACTTAAAAAAAAAGTTTATATTGAAAAGGTTTTTCCTTAAAATGAAGGACAAAGCAGATGTGAGGAACCAGCCGCTCTGGCTCTTGTTTGAGTCTGAGCTCTTTGGATGTGAAAAACGTTCTCAGAGAAATCTCCAATGAGATCATTCCTCTGTGGTGCTCTCCTACTTGTACCACCCTAATGACACTTCAACTAGCGAAGATGTTTGCTCTTTGGGAATTTTGCTTAGGAAAAACTCTTGCATCTAGCAAGTCTAGAGCAGTGGTTTTCAAACTTTGGATCGCGACCTAGTACTGGGTCGCCTTGCTCAGCACCCAGGGACCCTGGCGGCTGGCCAATAAAAGCTAGTAGTCCCTACCTGTTCTGACAAGGCGCTGCGCCCTGGAAGCGGCCAGCAGCAGGTCCGGTTCCTAGGCAAGGAAGCCATGGGGCTCTGCGCGCTGCCCCCACCCCAAACACTGGCTCCGCACTCCCTTTAGGCAGTGGGTGGTGTCTGCGGGGAAGAGCTGCGTGGAGCTGCTTGTGCGTCTCCACCTAGGAACCGGACCTGCTGCTGGCCACTTCCAGGGCGCAGTGCAGTCCACGGTGCCAGGACAGGTGGGAAGCCTGCCCCTGTACCCCGGCTGCACAGCTGATCGGGAGCCACCGGAGGTAAACTGACACCCCAATCCTCTGCCTCAGCCCTGAGCCCCCCCCCCAAATCTGGAGCCCCCTCCTGCACTCCAAACCCCTAATCCCCAGCCCCACCCCAGAACCTGCATCCCCAGCTGAGCCCTGACCCCTCTCCTGCACCCCAACCCCCTGCCCAAGCCCACAGCCTCCTCCCACACCTGAGCCCCTCTTTCCCGGCACCAGCCCTGAGCTCCCTCACACATCCCAAACCCCTCATCCCCAGCTCCATTGGGTCGCGGGCATCAACAATTTTCTTCCATCGGGTCGCCAAAAAAAAAGTTTGAAAACCACTGGTCGAGAGCTTCTGCTACTGAGGTGACATCATAATGAATGTAGCCAAGTCCTTGTGTGGTCTCTGGTGCTTTACGCTTGCTGGAATTGCCACGTAAGTGCAACAACAAAAACATACAAAAAATATAGTGGAAGTCTGTGTCTAACCTGTGGCCTCACCTGCCGAAGCAGTTCTTGATGCTTCAGTCGCAGCCTCTCTTTCTCCATCTGCAGCTGTTGCAGTCTCATCTGTTGCTGCTGATTGGAGCTGCCCCCGCCCATCACTCCACCTTGAGGACTCTGAGGAGCCAGTGGGGGTGGTTGTTTCACTGGAGCACTTTGGCTGATGCGCTGATTCATAGCTATGGAGTCAAAAGAATAAAATGTACATTTTAAAATGACATTCAAACATACAGGAAAGGAAAGAAACATGCTGAAAGTAATTTGACAGAACCTGTAACCCACTGCAAACCACGGCACTACAGACCATACAGCTGCACTGATTTTCCACAGGTTGCGAGGCAGAAGCCCAAAATAGGCAGATGCTATTGTTGTGGGATCAGAGTATGCTCAAATTTTCAAGAAAGCACGCGCTCAACTTGTACATGCATTTTTTGAAACGCTGGCTCTATCGTTTAAAGGTGGTACCAAAACACAGCTGTTCATTCCAAACGGCAGTAATCCAAACATGAAGATAAAATTTGATGATTTTCACCTCTACTTTTTATAGTTGTTTATTCTCATCTTTAGGACAAGTCCAGGCACATTAAACTCATGTTCTTGAGATGACTCGATATTGCTTTCACAGAACCCTACATATTTAAATGACAAAACACATACTGAATCTCATCTCTGTCCTCTTACTTTGAATAATTCCCCGATACATTTTCTAGTTTTAAATGACCCAGTTGATGGTCTTTTATGACTTCCCCTAAGAGACTATTACATAGTAGAATCTTATTGTGTCAAGGAAGCTTTTTACAACAGTCAACCTAATTTTTCCTTCAAATTTCATCCAGTTATACATCCAGTTATACCTTCCTGTGCAATCCTAAGCAATTTTTCACCATCCTTAGTGCTGAAAATTTCAGATATTTGTATGTTCCTACCCTCTGTTCAGCCAACATGTACACACTTAGGTCTATAAATAAAATCAATCCCTCATTTAGAGTTCTTAAAACTCCCTCCCAATTTGTCATTAAGTCTGGTTTTGAAGCACTCAGAACTGAAATGTAATGTGACAGTGGTTTTACTAAAGTCATACAGAACTTCTCTATTCTGTGATGCTTTTCTATGCATCTTCTTCCCCAGCTTCATCCTCTCAGCTCATTCTGGTGATAATTTCTGATGGATGAAGGGAGAAGAAAGATGGTGGTGGCAGAAGACACAGGCTCTAAAATATTAGTTGCAAACAGTTAAGACTTTTTTGAAGTAGCTATTCAATAGGCACAGAGGAGGATTCTTAGTCTCTACTATGGTATCTGCAGGTTCTCAAACAACAGATTTAGTCTGCACAGATTTTCTGCTGTAGCCAGACTACATTGCTTCAGGGGCAGATTTCAGCACCCCCAGTTGTGAGGACATTTCTTATCATTTTGCAGAGAAAACTGGACATGCAAAGCATGGTCTGAACTCTGAGCATTGCAGCCAAGCGGGATCTTGAAAGGCTGGAGGCTAAGCTGTCTCTGATTCAGAATTAGGCAAGTGACGCTGAGACTCTGGATGTGATGGGCAAACTTTGTTTCACAACTGGCTTTTGAGTCTACAATAGAACCTTAGAGTTACAAACACCAGAGTAAAAAGAAAAGGAGGACTTGTGGCACCTTAGAGACTAACCAAATTATTTGAGCATAAGCTTTCGTGAGCTACAGCTCACTTCATCAGATGCATCACTTCACTGGATGTAGCTCACAAAGCTTATGCTCAAATAAATTGGTTAGTCTCTAAGGTGCCACAAGTACTCCTTTTCTTTTTGCGAATACAGACTAACACGGCTGTTCCTCTGAAACCTGTCAAACACCAGAGTTATGAACTGACCAGTCAACCACACACCTCATTTGGAACCAGAAGTATGCAATCAGGCAGCAGCAGAGACCAAAAAAAAAGTAAACACGCTACAGTACAATATTAAACGTAAACTACTAAAAAAAAATGAAGGAAGAACAGCATTTATCTTCTGCATAGTAACGTTTCAAAGCTGTAGTGAGTCAATGTTCAGTTGCAAACTTTTGAAAGAACAACCATAATGTTTTGTTCAGAGTTATGAACAACCTCCATGCCTGAGGTAACTCTGAGGTTCCACTGTATGTCCTTCCTGACCAGTGAAAGTTGGTGAGGGGCCAAGTGCTGTGTCCACAGATGGCACTTGTTAATGCCTTGTTTTAAAGGAATGCAGGCAGGGGTGAAAGTAAGTTAAAGGCCTTACCAGTATGCTGGAGTCCTGAGCAGGGGGCGTGGCCTCAACCGGAAGAAGCAGGGCCTTAAATCCGTGGGCCCTTTAAATCTTGATTTAAAGGGCCCAGGGCTCCAGCTGCGGTAGTGGCTCCTGGCTGCCACCGCTACCCCGGGGCTCTGGCAGAGCTTTAAAGGGTCTGTGGCTCTGCTGTGGTAGCAGCTGCCAGAACCCGAGCCCTTTAAAGCTCTGCCTGAGCTCTGCTGCCCGAGCCCTGGGGTAGCGGCAGCGGGGCTCCATTGGTGATTTAAAGGGCCCTGGGGCTCCAGCCACAGCTACTGTCCTGGACCTTTAAATCCCTGCCAGAGCCCTGGGGTCGCGGCGGCGGGGCTCCGGCAGCGATTTAAAGGGCCCTGGGGCAGTAGCAGCGGCTGGAGCTCTGGGGCCCTTTAAATCCCCGCCGGAGCCCTGCCGCCGCTACCCCAGGGCTTTAAATTGCCATCTGGGAAAGCCGGTGCAGGTATGCCGTACTGGCTCTTGCTGGTATGCCGTACTGGGGCATATTGGCTTACTTCCACCTCTGAATGCAGGGCACACTATGTTTTTAAAGAAACACGTACAACCTCTGCTTAAGAAACCACCCATTGAAACGGTCAACCTGGATAATTATGACAATCTTCCATTCTGAGTTAAGAATAGGAAGAAGGCTAGATGACAGAACTCAGCATCTAGGAGCCTCAGACCTTTGTCAATCTGCTTTTATCTCTAAATGATACTGGTGGTGCGGGTCACTGATCTCCCAGCAATGGTTATCAAGAGTCCACGCTGCTTCTGGAGTACCAGCTGTCTTTGAAACCCCTGACTGTGAAGAGTTTAGTCTACTCCCAAAGTGCAAGCAGCTTAAGCTAGCTTCCTGTAACTTCCTTCTTTTCTGTCAGAGATCCTGAAGGGTAGTTTTAGGCATTTGCTTTTCTGTCCTTATGGCCCTCTGAGGCCCCCCCCTCCCTTTGGGGGGAAATAATACAGGTATATTCCATCATCTTTGCTGTTCAATATGGAGGTTGGGATGATTAGTGAGTAGGAATGGATTTTGCCGTCTCTCCCCACAGAATATGCTGGCAATACTCAACTCTGAGACTCCATTTTATCTCAGACAGTATGATTGAGCACCTTCCATAGTCTCTGATAGTATATGGGGCATAGATGAGAGTGAGCTGGATGAAGATCAGTTCAGGTTAGATTGAGGTGATGATGGTGGGCTGGGAGAAGCAACCAAAGGATATGGCAAAGATTATATTTGCCCCTCTAACTGAGGGCATGTTTGTCAATAGAGTGCGTGATTTAAGGGGGTGGTGTTTATCGGACAGCAGCTGATGTCATACAGCAGCAGTGACCACAACTTTCTCCACATTTGCACAGATAGTTACAAACTCCTCTCTCAGATGCAGACCATGCAACTAACTGTCATTCACACCTAATCGTTTCAAGTTTAGATGATGCAATGCACTGTCACACGGAACACCTTTAAATCAACCTGGAAACTAAAGCCGACACAGAAGGTAGCAGACGATTGTAAAGCTGGGCATCTCCATGAACATGTGATACCAGAGCTCAAGGATGTGCACTGGTGCTTTTTTTCCCCCCGCCTCTTTCCTCTGAGTAGAGAGTATGTACAGCAAGCATCTTCACAAGGGAAAATAAAAAGGTGTGTTCTTAAAAAGCTTTAGGAAACATGAGGTAAAATCCTAGTGAAGCCAAGGCAGTTTTAGTTTCCACGTGTTAGCAGGCTGAAGTGAACTGCAGGCCTTCCGTTAGTGCTTACCTTTACCTGGTAATGTGTTAAAATTAGAGTTATCTTGTCTTCACTGGGATTTTAGCTAACATGTTAACTAAAATGAGGTAACACATGGCATGAACACACTTTATTTCCTAATCAAGACAAGGTCGAAGAAGCTGATTATGACTTATAAAGCCCAACATAGCTTGGGACCTGCCTACTTGAAAGGCCTGCTTCTTTCCCCATGAGACACTGCCATGGCTGGGATCAGCACAGGTGCCGGAGCTGGAGTTTACTAATTTGTTAGTGGCAAGGACATGCTGCAAACACAGTTACCAGGGCAGGCATTCAGGGAAGCAGAATGGTGGGGATTTTCTTTTATTGGGAAGTGGATTAGAGCTTATGGGAACTGAGGTAGGAGTTTGGTTTTTGGCTAACAGGCTGTTTTGGTGTAATGAAAAGCCAGCTGCTTTGTCTTTGTTTGACCAAATTTTTAATTATAATCTAATAGGGCACCTAGAACAGAGGTTAGGTTTGTTTGTTTTTTAAATAGGAGAAGATACCAGTGACCTCATATTTAGGTTAACACTTTCCCTTATAAAGGATTTTTGTGACTTTTTTTTTTTTTTTTTTTTTTAAAAAAGCTTTCACACCTCCACTGGTTGCAGCAGGCATTTGTTATGCAGCTGGGGGAGAATAGCCCTCACAGTAGAGAAGTGCCTTTTCCTCGTCTGTGAAACAAGATACAGATTTAACTGAGTTGTAATCCTTACTTTCTGGCTCCCCCCTTAAATCCCCAGGACCCAACAGCCCATCCTCCATCTAGAGATTCCATATGGAGCAGAAGTGCCCCACTTCCTGGAGTGGGAATGAGAGAAAGCTGTGTCAGACTCCCAACAATCACCCTCTAGACGCAGCACATGGTCACTGTGCCAGTGACTCATTTCCCCCCATGTGGAATTACAGCCTTCTCCTGCTGCCAGCTAAAGTAGTTACCTAAAGTATAAATGGTAGAAGTCTGTGCTGCATTGCTGAAGGTTCATGACAGAAAACCTGCTAATGAAGCATGATGGTGAGATTTTTACAGCTGAAACTTTTACTTTTGTCCTTTAAAATAAACCTAGGAAATTACATCCCCACAACTATGTTAAAAGAATAGGCTGCAAAGTCAAGTACTCAAAAGTTAGGAAGTG